GGGGGTTCGTCGGAAGTCGGAGTCCGCTATGCCGTTTATGATTTGTTATTTATTGAAACCAGGGCAGGGTGCATTTCGGCGAGCCGTTGGAGCGGGCTATTCGGACTACAAAAAACTGGCCAACGCAGAAAAAGGCCGACAGGATCTCAACCTCCGCTGCTGCCAAACGGTGCGCTTGGGAGTGGTCTCTCCCCCCGCCGCACCCCGTCCCGCGCCAAAACGACCCTCGTCCCACGAAGAAAACGACCATGGTCCAACGGAGAAGCGATCCTCGTCCCGCGAAGAAGTGCTCCTCGTCCCGCGAAGAAGCGACCAGTGTCCGCGACAGGGTCCTCGAAAACATTCCTCGTGTGGGCCAATCGATCGAAGGAGAGGGTTGGGGCATGTAAAGACGAGAAAATAGAAAAACACGCGCAGAAAACGACAGAAAGAACAAACGAGTGGGCTGCGTGTTTAAATATTTTTTTGGTTTTTGAATATTTTTTGAAAAGGTTTTTCGGAGGTTTTTGATATTTTTGTGTTTTCAAAACGTTAATCGACCAAAAACGGGGCAAATATATACAATATCTACAAAGCTAAAAATATTTACACTGTACATAGTCGGAGAAACGGACGGGCTTACGTACCTCCCGACCACGGCGATTGGTCGTGGGAGGCGGCAGACTAGATTCGGGAGATGTTGGAACGGCTTGTAGACCGAGATCGTGGTCTGGATGAACTGGACCAGGATGCTGTAAGCTGGTGCGATGAGTTGTGACGTCGCACGAAGCACTACTAGACGAAGTAGGCGAGGTAGTTTCTTCCATAAAGGCAGGTTTCAGACGGTCGACGGTGACGACTTCGTGTCGACCACCGCGGTCAATAGTGTACGCCTTACTCGCACGATGCAGCACCTTGAAGGGTCTTATGTACGGCGACTGAAGAGGCTGTCGAACACCGTCTGCGCGAAGAAGGACGTGTGAACCTGTAGACAGCTTCTCGGACACGTACACTGGTGTCTTCTGCGATCGAGGAGCGGGTGGACGTAACTGACGCATCTGGTGAGCCAATCGATCAGTGTAACTTCCGTAGTCAAAATTGGAGGTACATGGGGCTGGTGCTACCAGCTGTCGGGGCAACCGCGGCGTGCAACCGTAGACTAGCTGCGCTGGTGTGGCGTCGAAATCGGTCCTAACCGTGTTTCTTAAGCCTAAGAGAACGAGGGGTAGCGTTTCAGACCATGAAGGAGCTGCGTGCGCACGTAGCGCTGCCTTCAACTGGCGATGAAAACGCTCCAACATGCCGTTAGCGGCCGGATTATACGCCGTCGTCTGGACGTGGCGACAGCCTAAATCCTTAAGAGACATGGCAAATGTCGACGAGAAATGTGACCCTCGATCGGTGGTCACGATGGCGGGACAGCCGTATTGAGCTACCCAGCGCTCCATAAAAGCTTTCGCTACCGTTTCCGAGGAGCAATTTGGGATGGGGACGGCCTCAGGCCATCTAGTAAATCGATCGATGCATGTCAGTAGATATACAGAGCCTTTGGAAGGCGGTAGAGGACCTACGAGTTCCACGTGCACTAGATGAAAACGTGCGTCTGGCGTCGGAAAATTGCCTAATGGGCTTCTCGTGTGCTTGTGCACCTTTGCGCGTTGACACGGAAGGCAAGCAGCTGCCCAGGTACGGACGTCCCGATTAACATTGCGCCAAACGAATCGTGCGGTTACGAGTTTAACCGATGCACGAACGCCTGGATGAGACAAGCCGTGCAACGCATCAAACACGGTCTGCCGAAACTCGCGTGGGACGACTGGGCGCAGCGTGCCCAGCGATAAATCGCAGAGTATCGTTCCATCTGATGATGTCAGCGGAACGGGTCGTATATTCAATGCGGGAGACCTGCGTAGTAAATAAATAAATAAATAAATAGTATATTCTCGGTAAAACGAGACACACCTGTAAAGGCGTGATCAAATATGCATACCAGCATAGCTTCTGTGGAATGTTAAAACATTTCGCTTTTCTGAACGTTTTAAAAGAAAAGATGTTGGCCGTGTGAGTGAGCATACTGTCAGGTAATAATCAGACCCAGGGACATTATGGCGCTGTGGCGCGCAAAAATCCGTCAAAACACAAGTTGGGGGTAATTACGCCAGGTAGTGATCCGAGATAGAGATGATCTGTGCTCCAACAAAGCATTGTTCATAGCAGAATTAGTTGCACAGGTTCGATGTAGAAGGCTGAGGACTGCGTCAGTGTGAAATGCATAGCTGTGACTATTTTGTGGCGAGTCACATCCGCCACGTTGCAGTGTTGTTAAGCGGACATTTGTGGCTTTTTATAGGGAGAACGCTTGCCAGGCGAAAACCCACCACGTCCTGGAACACTGCCGTAGCTTTCGGTGAACAGTAGTGCAAGTCGGTTATGCATCGTATAGACCGATTTTGCGTTCTACTATTTGCAGTCAGTTGACAGCCAAAATTCTTCGTTGGTTGGCCGAATGGCTTATTTCTGATACGCCAGCAGTCGTTGAGGCCGGGCAATGATGCAAGATTCGAAGAGTCGATCGATAATGCTGCAGGTGAGTAAAAACGTTTTTAATAGAGGCCGGGTCTTCTATTATATTCTTGCTCGGCTCGCAAACCATGTCCAACTATCCTCGCTGGACTTGTCATGGGGTTGGTGAGTGAAGTTGTTTCTTGTAGATCAAGCTCAGGATCGATGAGTTGTGCTGTGGCCATGGCGGCCAAGTCGATAGCAGTGCCGGCGTCAGCGGAGATAGCTTGGATGCGGGAAAGTGCATCGGCGACGGCGTTGTGCACACCTGAGACATGCCGTATATCGGTCGTAAACTGAGCGATATAGTCAAGGTGGCGCGACTCTCTAGGAGAGTATCGGTCGGTAGTCAAGCCGAGCACGTAAGTCAGAGGTTTGTGGTCGGTGAAGACGACAAAGGATCGGCCTTCTAGGATGTGTCGAAAGTGACGTATCGCTAGATATACGGCTAGTAGTTCCCTGCCGGACGTGCTGTAGCGAGATTCGGTAGGTTGTAGACGTTTGGAGAAAAAGGCTAAAGGTTGCCACTTGTCGGCTACGCGTTGCTGCAAAACAGCGCCGACCGCCACGTCCGAGGCGTCAGTACTGAGGGACAGTGGGGCGGCCGGATCGTGGTGCGCTATAGAAGCTATGTTGGCGATAGCCTCTTTCAGCGACTTATAAGCAGCGCGTGCTGCGGTAGGAAATTCGAACGTCTTGAGTTTCCCTCGGAGAAGGTCCGTGAGGGGTTGTATCAGAGAGGCGCAGTTGGGTATAAATCGTCGTTAAAAATATACCAGGCCATCAAAACGCCTGAGCTGTTTGAAAGAATGAGGCTCGGAGTAGTCGATAATGGCTTGAATTTTATCCTGCAGTGGCACAACGCCTGCAGAAGAGATACGATGGCCCAAGAAATTAACTGAATCGACACCAAACGAACACTTTTCTGCGTTGATCGTCACCCCGTGTTGAGATAAGCGATCAAAAAGTGCTCGTACGTGGCGCATATGCTCTTCTCGTGAAGAGCTTGCGATTCAACTGTCGTCAAGATACGCGTAAGCGAAGTCTAAACCGCGACAAACTTGGTCGCTGAAACGCTGAAATGTTTGCGCGGCGTTCTTTAGGCCAAATGGCATGCACAGAAACCCGAACGAACCAAATGGAATCGTCACGGCAGTTTTAGCGATGTCCGCTTCGGCTACCGAAATTTGGTTGTATGCGCGTACCAAGTCGATTTTGCTGAAGATATTTTTACCCACCAGACTGGCGGTGAGATCCACTATGTGTGGGATCGGATAGCGATCGGGCGTGGTCACCGTATTCAAGGATCGGTAGTCACCGCAAGGACGCCAGTCCCCCATGACCTTCTTCGGGACCATATGCAGAGGCGACGCCCATGGGCTGTTGGACGGTCTGACGATACCAAGTTGAAGCATGTGGTCAACTTCGGCTCGTGCTGCCCGTAGTTTGTCTGGAGCAAGCCGTCTTGGTCGTGCGCTAACTGGTTGACCGCGCGTAACTATGTGGTGAGCGACCTCTGTCGTAACTGGTGGAAGCTCTGCAGCCGGTCGAACCAGTTGCGCGTATTCGGAGAGGCGGCTCAAATAGTCGGACGGTGCGTCTGCGATCCGAAATACAGGGCTGATTATCGGGGCATCTGAAAGGACACCATCAACACCTAGTTTCGTACGGTCGTCAAAAAGTCGGTGGCGACCAGCATCAACAAGCAACCCAAAATGTCGAAGGAAGTCTATGCCGATAATTGCGAAGGGTACAGACGCAACCACGAAGACCCACTGAAAATCTCGGTAAAGATTGAGGTCTAGGTTCATCATGCGCTGACCGAATGAAGCTATCGGAGAACCGTTGGCCGCACGCATATTGTACGTATGCTCCGAGTGCTTGTCGCTAGCGGTCACTGGGATGACGCTGACTTCCGCTCCCGTGTCGATGAGGAACGTGATGGAAGAACGTCGATCCTTAACGTAACACAGTCGGTTTGCTTGGTTATTGAGTGATACGTTAGTAGTGCTAGTATGCGGGCTATTCGTTTTCCCTGGGTCGTGCCTAATGCAGGGTGATCGACAACGTCTAGCTCTTCCACCGTATTGGCGGTAATACCAACATACTTCTTCGACAGGTTTGACAGTATCTGACTGAAAACTTGTAAGGAAAATGTTGCGCTTTCGTGCCGAACGTGACGTACTCGGTGCAGGCACAGACGAGCCGCAATGAACGGTAGCCAAAACGTGGTCAGCATTTGACCGTGGCACACGCTGCTTCGAAGCCTTCATTGCCGCTATCCTGCTTCGAAGTAGAGCAATTTCCTCGTCTTTAGAGTCAGAGCGGTCTAGCGACTGGAAACAAACATGGGATTCGGTTTTCATCGGTGAGAATACGTCACCGTAGTTACTGGTCGTCTGCTGCGGAAAACGTTCGAACGCAGCGTCTGCCTTGGTAGCTAAGTCTTTCAAGGGTGCATCTATAAACATGGACAGCATTACCGGCAATGGCTCTGGGAGACGTGCAAACCACAGCTCCTTTATCCCTTCTTCGCTCAAGAATAAGGGACCAGCGATGCGCTGAACTTCGCGGAGCAACACCGACGGCTTGCGATCTCCAAGCTTGAGACCATTGAGCTGCTCAAATCGAGTTCGTGCGCTGGGCCGTAACTCTTTCAAAATCGCTTGCTTCATCGTTTCATACTTTGCCTCATTCGATGGGCAGAGTAGAATGTCCTCAATCAGCGTCACTACCGACGGAGGAAGGCGTGGGACGAGCTGATTGTACCTTGGACGGTCCGCCGTTACGCCCTTATTTTCTAGTTCGATCTCGAATATCTTAAACCAAACTTCTGGACTGTGTTCCATGAAACTTGGAACAGCCAAAGTAAGCATGGTTACGCTGTGAAACGACTCAGATAACACTCTCGAAATGTGAGTCGAAAGATAAAGAACGAACAAAATACGATAAAAGTACTAAAATTACGCAAGAAACAAATGAATATAGGTATATAATCGAGAAAAAGGAACGAACTCACCAAAAAATACAAACGAGAAAAAAAGTTGAATTCGCGCGTGCGAATCGGGGTCACCAATTTGTAGGACTAGTTAATACTAGTCCGAGACGATGCGCGGAATTAAGCGCGGATATCAGAAGGCAATTGGAGTCGGACACAGCGGACTGTATTCGATGGGCTACAACAAGAAGCGGACGGATGAAGCGAGGCAAGAGCGTACACGTGAGCGCGGGGACTTACAAGGCAGTTGTGTGTCGAGCCGGTTGTAAGATTAAAACAAGAAGGAGTAATGTACAATCGGTCAACATGTAAACTGTACACGAAAGATAAGAGTGTTGGGCGCTACACATGCAGAGGTTCAGGAGTTCCCAAAAGCTTTTGGTGGTATGGTTGTCGTTGAGCTTAGTTGATTATCTATTAGTTCCATCATGGTTCCTTTGGCCAATTCGTGACCAATTGAACTGAAGAGTGCGGTGACATCGAATGAAAGCGTTAATTCGTCATCTTTTGTGACACCCCGCACTTTGTTGAGGAATTGTTCCGCGTTGTTGATGCTATGTTCGGATCCAGCCAACAAATGTTTCAACCTCCTCCACAAATCCTTCGCTAGTATATGTGATGGGATTCCGGGGAGCGAGACGATTGGTCGTAGTTGGACTCCATCCTTGTGTACTTTTGGTAGGCCATAGAATAGTGCAATGTTTGTATCGGCAGCTTTCATTCTCCATCGCTCCGTGGCGGTGAGCTCGTTCTTTGTTTGTAGTTTTTCAGTGTTGCGTTGATCTGGTTGGCCATTTTTGAACATGGATCTTGCTCGATCTGGCTATATGTAGTTGTGTCGGATAACAGTTCTTTGGCCTTGTTAATATACTCCGGTTTGTCCATTAGCACTGTCATGCGCCCTTTGTCCGCTGGTAGGATCACAATGTACACGTCTTTCTGTAGGCGTTTGTGTGCATCCAGTTCCTCCTTGGCTAGAGACTGCGTGACTTTATTCCAAGTTAGTACTGGGACAACCGTCTGCCGCATCTGTTGCTGGGTCTCCTCTGACAGTCCATTTGATTTCATTGCGTGTTCTAAGCTAGCCAAGTAGTCGTTGGGGCAAGCATCTTTGACGTTGAAGTTGAGCCACTTGATCAAAACATCCTCTTCAGTTGCAGTGAGTTGGCGGAGTGAAATATTTTTGATCCAACCTTCACTACTTGTGCCTTCAATTCTCTCAGTCAGTTTGTCTAATTTTGTGTTATTACGCGTTAGTCATAGCGGCTCATGGCTCAGTCAGCTCATAGCAGTCTAGCAATGCTGTCTATTATCAAGATTGGTAATGCGAGATTTATGACTTCGTACAATTATTATATAACCACAAAAGTTGAACTATCATAAGTAATATACATGAAAGTTTTGTCGCCATGAATTAGCGAATGAACATCAGAGAAATAGACTATTTATTACGAAGCGCACAAGTCACTGCACCTTAGATATGTGGTGCAACAAAGGCTATGCTTGTGAGAGCTAGAGTTTTCAAAAGCGAAGGATTGTTATGCCCTGGATGTAAGGGCCCAATATTTTGAAGTTTTTGACCGTTTTAAGGCTCTATCCCTCCTGTTACCTAGATTTGACGCAAGTGGTCTAGACGTAGGCCAAACCGACGGCACGGGTTAGGGCTTTGGCCGTTCGCCGTTTACTATACTACCGATTTATTTGACCGGAGCATGCTTCCATAAGACTTAGGATTAAGACTCGACAGAGTTAAGGAATGGAACAAAGTACTGCTTATATTATCTCGGTAGTCTAAATTAATAACCGGCATTACAGTGTTAATTGAACCCGTTTGTTAGGATAGCTAAAGGTAAAGGTTGCCACTGAAACTAAAGCTTGGAGCCTAGGTTCCTGTTGCTAATTGAAGCAGGCACGCCTTGTTGCCGCCGCCTTTGCCATTGAACTAGTTGTCTATTAGAGGAAGTGTGGGAGTAGTCCTCACCTCCCAAGACAGTTAGACTGAGCCTTCAGTTGAGGTTTCCTTGGTGAGAAAGCTTTGCTTCAGGTTTGGAGAGGCTAGCGATGAGCAGTGGTTTAGAGGATCGTACTGGTGGTGCGTCTCTTCTTACTCAGGCACTTTGCAATTAAGCAGGCTGATAATGGAAGTGGGTAGAGGGGACCTGTGGTAAGTGCGGTAGCGGATGTCGAACCAACTATTATTCTGGAGAGTATTCCAGCGAGAGCCATTTCAGCTAATAAGGCAAGGTCAGTGAATAGTAGTGTAGGTAAAGAGTAGGAACGTAGGCAATAATGTAGGAATTGATTATAAACCTGGCACTACGCATAATGCGCGGCAAGCTTTGGAGCCAAGTAAAAGTGAAAATTATACACCAACGGCCAAGCTAAGGCCAAGTGTTAGGCAGAACGTTCTGGATGTCCAGCCACCCTGTGTGACGGGGCCACTCAGCTGTATGGTTAGCCATGGTTCTAGAGAAATAAATAAATAAGGTTAAGTTCAAGTTCAGTTGGGACCGGAACGATAGGATAATCCCGTTAATGTTCCTTCTTTTGCGTATCATAGGATCGGTAATTGACAGGTCTGCTGAGATGTGGAAAAGCGTAAAACAAAGGCCGCATCACACCCTGCCCAACCAATTACTGCCCGCATTTTCCTTCCCAGCAGTCCCTGCCAGGCCGGTTTATGTGAAGTAAAAGAGTGAAGGGTAAGCTAAGAAAACAAGAGGAGGAATGTCAGATAAATAATGATAATACCAAGGTGAGAAAAAAATTAAAAAAGAACAAAGGTAAAGCTGAAGATACAAGTCGGTTAGGAGAAGAAGGTTTAATACTGCCACCCAAGAGCATATAACTGACGCTCGAAACCCTCTACCATAGACTCCCTAACCACGTGCGCGGGAAGCAAGTTCCAACGTTCAATAACTTGACGCGACAGGCGAGTTTCCGTCCTTACCCGGTCAGAACGCTGTTTGTGCGGCTTCAACGGGTGACCTCGGAGACTAGGCAGCTTGGCAGGATTAAATATCCAGAACAAGTCTGGACCGATCTTACCCTTTAAGATACGGTAAGTGAGAATTAAGTCTCCTCTAATTCTGCGGTAGTGCAATGAGTACACGCCTAAGCTAAGCAAACTTTCAGGATACGTTTACTACCGTAATCCTTGCACTAACCTTGTACCCACTGGCAAAACACTCTCCAGTTCCATTTTGTCCCTTACAAGACAAGGTGGACAAGCCTGGATACAGTACTCTAAGTGAGGTCACACAAAAGCTGAGAACAGCTTCACAAAAATATTGGCCGATAGGACACCGAAGCAGCGGCGAATAAACCACATCATACGGAACCCTCTACAAGCTGCCTTCCTCCAATTTTCCCCAGAGTGAAGCAATGAGGTATGGGTGACACCTAGATCAACCTGTTAAATGGCAACAGGGAGTTCACTCCCACCAGCTACATAGCGCGTGGGGGGACTAGTACCTCCAATGCGGAAGACAGAACATTTCGCCTGATTTATGGGCATCAACCATAAGGTTAACCAATCCCCGAGCCTATCCATGGCACTCTTAAGTGCCTCAGAGCCACCAGGTATATCCACAATATTCCAGAGCATGAGGTCATCCGCAAACAATAGCGACGGTACTCCAGGCTCCTGGGGTATGTCAGTGACATAACTTTCGAAAAGCAACGGCCCTAGAACCGAGCCCTGCGGAACGCCACTAAGAACAGCTTATCTAAGCAAAAGACTACGCCCCACGAGTACACACTGTTCTCTGCCCTCTAGGAAAGCAGAAACCCGTTTAAGGGCGGCTCCAGATATCCCATACGATCTCAACTTCAATGAGAGTCGTTGTTGTGGGACAGTATCAAAGGCTTTTGAGAAGTCAACGGAAAGCACGTCGATGGCGTGACCGTCTTCTACTGCCTCAGCCCAGCTTTCACGAGCTACATGCAAATTTGTCAGACATGAAAATCCCTTACGGAATCGGTGCTGAGCCTCACTGAGAAGGTTAAACTTAATCAGGTGATTCTCCACCGAATCCCTTACCAACCGTTCAAACAACTTAACTACTAGACTTGTTAAGCTGACAGGCCGGTAGTTCGCGGGCAGAACTCTGTCCCCGCCCTTAAAAATCGGACAGGTGATTGCCTTCTTCCATTCAGAAGGTAAGGCACAGCTGTCGAGTGATATTGCAAACATGCATTTCAGAGGGCCACTTAGCTCAGCGGCCAATTCATGCAGCAGCTTCGGATGAATTGAATCAGGGCCAGAAGCTTTTGAAGGATTTAGCTCTTGCAACAGCCCGAAGACTTGTGTCTCCGTTATGCTTATCTCAGTTAGGCAAGAATCCTCCGGAACTTACGTGACCAGCTCAACCAGAGGTAGAGAGGCCTCATGAGTAAAGACACCAGTATACTGTTCGCTAAGTATCCATGCATTATCATAGTCGGTATGCCCATGGGTCCCGTCCGCTCGTAGTAAAGCCGGTATAGACGAGTTTGTACCGCTACGTCTCTTTACGTAAGCAAAGAACTTCTTTGGATTTGTTACGGCTGCGTTAGCCAAGTCCTCCTAGTACTGAAGACGAAAAGTTCTAAGATGATGCTTACATTTATTTCTAACCGCTCGATAGCTTTCGTAGGTGCTGGTTGATGAAGCCTCTTGGTACGTTCGTCAGCACCTAGAACGCTTCCTGAGCAGGTATCTACCTGCATGATCTATCCATGGAGGCTGCGCCCCTGTCACCCTTCTCTTAGTGAGTGTGATGTGGGGAGCAGAGACCTCGGTGAGGTATGCCTTAAATTTCTCCCAGGCTGTCTCAACGGTGTCAGCCACGGTGATCGCACAACGCAAAACTGAAGCTTTGTCTCGCATTGCGTTGAAGTCTGCCCGCCAAATATTTGGACGTGCCTCAGCAGCAGCTTGATGACACTTAGTTAGAGCACATCGAAAGGATATGCAGACATGGTCACTGGCTCCTAGAGGACAGTCGTAGGTAATATCACTTACGAAATTGTGTGACTTAGCAAAAATGAGATCCAAGGTAGACGGAATTTGATTGCGCATATATCTAGTCGGGAGGTCCACGAACTGATGCAAAGGCAGTTGCAATGTTAGTTCAAGGAGATCCGAACCGAATAAATAGGTATAGTTCTAGACGGGCTGGGTGCTGCACCCATTAGCGAGCAGATCAATATTTACTTTAATCCGATGCTCTTGCACGGGAGAGGGAACGGTGCGAATAGGTTCCC